GTCGGGGATGAACTGAAATAAAGATAACGGCGCAGCGATTCAAGCCATGATGCAAGCCGTAAGTAAGGATGAGTTAACGAACTCTGTGGAAGATAAGGTACACGACTTTTACTTATTTTCTCAATATTTGTATTGCAAAAGTTTCTGATAAGATTCTTACATTTTCTGTGCATTTAAGAAAACATTCTGTGTTTTTCTTCATACCATATCTCTCCGGGAATTTCCTTTGGAGGGACTGGGGTCAGGCCAGCCACATGAGCTGGGGTCTCAGTATCATTCCGTTCTTAATCCTGAGTTCTTTAAGACACCAGCTCCGTGCCGAAGGAAAGGAAGACGCCGATTGGTCCTTGGGCTTCCAGCTTATGCCTGCATTACAGCTGAGGATGCTGTAACAGAAAATGAAATATCGTCAAAGAGAATTGCAGTAGCAGCGCGTGGTCCTCCGTGTCGCCTTGACAACACTCACTGATGCTGGGTGACGTCACACCGCATTGCGTCACGAAGTCTGACGTTATAACACGTCACATTTACGTCTGCATCTGGCATGATAACAGGCGCCTGTTCCGCACGCAGCATCCACCAACGATAGTGAGGGCCACAGCTAGTTCTTGTTCTTCGCATTAAAAGGGCACGGATTCGAGTGCTGGTGACAGAAGTAGACGCAGAAACAAGCGTCGTTCCAAAAGGTTTATTTTATTCATCGTTCCAACACTTTTCCTTTCATCTTCCTTTTCTTCTTTCTTTCTCCATCTTGCCATTGGCTGTTCTTATTCAACAACTGTATATCAACTGTAGAGCTTCGTAAGGCTTGTGAAGACGTTTACATACGGATAATTCGAAAGGCTTCAGGGCAGGGGTCATCAACTCGCGACCCGTCGGTCTGTTTTGTGCAGAGAAGGAACCATTGTACAGTAGCCAGACATTTAAGGAAGGTCAAACTTCAACGCCTGTCTAGACTAGTACAGTAGCCGGGAGGAAACTGTGCTAAATATCTGGCAGCGGGACCAAGGGGCAGAAGGGACAGCAGGTAAGGAAGTGGTTACTGTCCAAACTGTAAAGATTATTTCTCAGCGGCAGTACTTTGTCTCAGTAATGTTTTTGTTTTACATAGTATATGCATTTCGTTTCCTTTACCTGCACGTTAGTGACACGAAACGCACAGTTTTGTCCCGACTACTGTTATAAACTTTAGAGGTGGAAGAAGCTGCCTTAAGGGGAGATGGGAAGCTTAATCTCCGTAGTGTTAATTTTGTTACAACTACAAAACTCTATGGTCATCAAATTTAGAACACACGCAGTTGTGGGATTTTTGTATCTACTGAATTCTTTTTAAAGTAATATACTTGTAAGCGGATGTTTTAGTCCTTGCAGATCACAAGTTTTCTTTCGAGGCCTTAGTATTTCTTGATCGTTCGTATATGGGAATAACATTGAACTGACTTTTCCTTTAGAATTTCATCTTATTCAGGCTTCTTCTTTACACAGGCTAAAAAGGCAAGTTCAGAATCCATATACATATTACATAAAGCAAATGGAAAAGAACGTCCTTGGTTAATTCCTCGGTCTGATGGGGATAGCAGTAGATTGCAAATACGTGAACCGGATTGAACTGGCATCGCTTAGTGGGCCTTTGTGAAGACGCTGATCAATATGCAGGTTTCATAACAACAAGGACCATCTGAAAAATTATCAACTGCTTATAAAAGAATCTGTGCTAGTGAGCTAATAAGCTACTTCTTTGAGTCAGCCAGTTAGCTAATTAGTTTGTTAGTAAGCCAATTAGTTAGTCAGTTACTTAGGTAGATGGACGCTGCAGGGACTGAGGAACACCACGAAAAATCTGACTCAGGACAGGTGATCTCCTGAATAAGAAGCGGGAATGCTAACCACTTGACCGCGACATTTGGTTTGAACGTGTAGTAAAGTTATTTAATTCAAAATGCGAAATGCGCAACATGTGCGTTATGCAAGAAAAGCGAACTATGTGCCGATTTCTTTTTCTTTTCTTTTTTACCTTTTATGTGTTATTTAGCTTCATACATTCGCAGAGATGAATTAATAAGTTCATGCAGGAAATTACGTAACGAGGAAATTGTTCCTTTTAATCGTCTAGTATCGATAGTCAAGGACGTTGAGGTGGACCTGACATATTGCAGTCACAAACGAATTATGAAATTCATGTAATATTTTCCTTGGAAAGCTCAAAACTTGTTGCATAGTAGCGCATAACGCAGTACTGTCGGATACAGACACGTTTTCGCTTTTTGAAAAACTTGCCCCCTTTTTACATCTGAGTGCTGAATACTAGAAAAGCTACAGAGAAAGAGATAATCTGGGAAACGAAGAAGTAGATACGAAAGTATATTAAATAAATATTAGAGAAGTTGGTTTGAGGATGTTTTCTGGATTAAAATGCATCAGGATAGGCTCTCATAATAGAGTTTGTAATGATGATAATGTAATAGTTTCATACCAACGAATTTTCCTCTCCAATTCAGAAAATACTCGGTGATAGGAGACAGAATATTTTACTACATGTCAAACAAAATGTTTGCGGACACCATCACAAATGACAGTTTTATGTTCAACTTACTTCTGTAAATTTAAAGTCGGCTGTTTAGTACTTGTGCTTTGAATTAAGACATATAGGATGTTACCTTTACTTACTCTATCTGTTTATAATTTTGTCTTCATTTTACACCATGTGTAATTTTGAAAGCAGGCCTGTTTTTTAATTATTTTTATTATTATTATTATTAGTTGTGGTGATGGTAGTGGAAGAAGTATATTTTCCATAATGTACACTTTGCAGACAACGTTTTTGTTAACGCCTGATTTAAAAAGGCAACAATTCGTTCAGTGCATGTGTCTAATAATTCTTGACGTGAAGTGAAGATAACTTCTTAACCTCATGTGGTAGGCATTCAAGGGTAAGGGGTCGAAGTCCGACAGTGTTACCTTTGTCCGTGATAAGATTCCGACATAATAGAGTACAACGTACCTAGGAGAAAAGGAGAGGACAAGCAAGAAGTGATTAAACAAATCACATACTTAAATACTGAGAATTAACCCACGCAAGCTGAAGTATTATTCCACATTATCAGCAGATTGAAGGAGATAATCACATGTAAAACAATTCACTTCTTATAGCTCAAATAAACCCTTCAGAATTAAATAATTTTAAGGCGTATATAAACTGTTCTATAAAATGTACCGATTTCGAATTAAATTTAAATCCAATTTGTCAAGCATGTGTGTTACTATGCAGTAGTTCGTAAGATTTCGCTTATTTCTTTTTTTCTTTCTTTCTTTCTTTCTTGTTACCCCACAAGTAGAGCGGTGAAAATGACCTTACGATCACCTAATACCGAGGTTATTCCGTGAAGCTGTATCTTCATTCCTACATACATCGTCTTGCCGTTGTGCTCAGTGAAGCACGTTTGCCTTGTACGTATAAGATTGTTCGCTTTTCTCATTATTGTATGTTTAAATCCAAGTTGTGCGTCTGTTTAAAAATGATTGTATTTACCAATGATGGAGTTTATGGCTACCATACCATGCCATACCTACTGCTAATTTCAGCTCAGGCTTTTCTTTAGTTCGATTTTATATTATTATAGTTTCTTTGTTCACCAGGAACCCAGCCTGGCTTCCATAAATGTCGTAAATCTGCTAGACGCTTGATAAAATTTATCATCCTTTAATCTCGTACTATCCTTCATTGGAATATTTTTATAGGCCATTTAAATTTTCAATATTAAATGTTGGGATAATAGAAGGAAAATAACACATTTAAAAATTAGTTTCTTGTAATTTTAACAGGCCTTACATTTAGACCAAGGGTAAATAAAAGTATTGGCCTGTACCAAATAAACTGTGAAACAAGATAACTATTGAAAGAGTAATTAACAGGTATCATTTACCTGAATCAGAGTTCTGACTTACATTCAAGTGTAGTGTTACTTCTTATTGTATAATCAGGTATTCCCACCGCCAGAAGTTTCCAGAGCGTTACGGAATTATCTGGATCTTTCGCAGCGAACGGTCATAAAATGGCGCTACTCTGTTCTAGATACTTTTCGACGGGTGACATGGTTTCCACGAGTAGTTTTTTCCTAACAGCAGATTCCACAGTATTTTGTTGATAATAGCGGTTTAATGTAGCCTATGGTTTGATAGTTGCATTGGTTTAATAATTTAACTAATCAGATTATTTTAACTTTAGTAGCAATGCCAGGATGCTTTCTTATATAATCTCACCAACACTTCTGATCAAATGGTTCATATACCCACGTACAAGCCTAGTCTGTCGCACACAACAGAACGATCTGTTCTTTATGTACGATTATATGTGTATAGCGAAGGTCAAATTGTCACAGGTTGCACATATATACATTCACGATTTCAATGCTTGTGATACTTAATAAATCTGAAAACTCTTCAGTTCCAGACACAAAACTTTTGCAAAATGTCCACTGTCAATGAGATTTGATATCGAACTTACATATAAGGCAGAAGAGTTAAATGGCAAGTGTGATTAATTAGCATTTTGACGAAATTTTGTTAGAAATTCAATTTACAACCATCGATACTATTCTTCACCTTTATAGCGAACATTTAGGGATTTTTACAATATTATATTCTACAAATTTCGGAGAACGGCTATGAGCGTTGTTACATCACGTGGGCTCCTATCGGGGGTGTATTTTGTTGGTTATTGCTAGAAATTTTATGACGCGTGGGAGATCATTTTCAAGGCAGTTGGCTGTTAAAAGGGCGGAGGGGTTATTGTTACGTAGGCGGATACTTGATTCGTTCCATTTTGTTGACCATCCTATGGAGTGGGCATGAATCGTGGCTAGAGTGATTTTAAAGAACGTTTTAGTTGCACACGTTTGCGCGCATGCGCACGGACATTCTACTACTGTACTTGTTGTTGGGAACAGCTGATCGCCGTGTGGAGGGGCAGTGGTGGGGAGCTTCGTACCAACTACGATTTGCCCATAGTTCAGTCGCAAGCATGCAGCAATAGGAGTTACGTGTGTAGTTCACTTCGAGCGTGTTTACTTTCTAAGTGACACTTTGTTTAAAGACCAGTACTGTGCAAGAAAGACTTATTTCATAATATTTAAACGCAAAGAATAATTACAGAAAAGTGAGTGAGATCATACATGCTGACATATGTCGTAAGAGGTTAGTGTAATCTGACCGTGAGGATTGGTGGCAATCATTAGTGTGTCATTATTGCTGAAGGGATTTGGATTATTTAAAACTGCGAAATATCAATTCAGAAGTCTTGTGAACGGTATTCTACAGCTGTAACACTATCTTACGGACAGCAGAAGTGTACCAGAATTAGTCGACGTGTCTCGACCTACTTATTCAGCGGACTGCTCAGAGCAACACATAACCTCAATATTCATCAGCTCATAAACCTCAGTTCAGTGCAGTCTCATTCCACTTTTCAACTTATATCATATGTATTTCTTTGTTTTCAAAGAAACGATATTAAAAGTGTGACGTGATTCTTGCAGATCATCATGAACGAGTTACGTGCAGTTGGTTAAAGGATTTCGAAACCTTTACCGAAGTGTTGTGTGTCTTTTTCCCACTTTTAATTTGAGTGACAGTCACAACATGGGTGTACATAAAAACGCGGAACATGAAAGCGGATATTTTGAGGATGAGGAAGAAGACGAAGAAGTTGCTAGGAGAGTGATTTATGTAAACAGCAATCGAGAGGTTGTCGGGGATAAATCGGATGACAACCTTGCAGAAATAAGTTGCTGTGAAGGACGCATCGAACCCCAGAATAAAAGTAAGTGCGAAAGGAATTTAACGATTCATGTTTACTCATTGACAATGATTAATGGCGTAACATATCACAGAGGCACGCATGCTTGTGTTAATTGGGTTTCCAGGTAGAGATGTATTCTGCAGTGTGATTTGTATCTGCAGTAGTTCCACGCCAAGGCCACTGAGATACGTAAAGTCCCGAAGTTGGCGTTTGGAATTGGCCTGTATTGCGACTTGGTGCTTGTGGTTCCTACACAGTACTGGTAGAAGGATGGTGAAATATTGGCACAAGCGTTCTAATTGGCAAAGTGCAAGTAGGCATAGTATGTATAGGTACAGAGAACAGCATGTAGTAATGCGTTACTACGATGTGTTAATGATATCAGAAACTTGTCACTGTCAGTATGTATAAAATGCTTTTACATTATTAACTGCGGAAACTGATATTGTAACTTTTACATTTCTTCGTTGTTTCACTTCAGACTTATCATATGATTTAAAATGTCTCCAGAATAAATTAAATCAATTACGGAGCTTTCATGTTAATCGTGTTAGCCTAATTTGAAAATAAAAAAATAAACGTCTTCTGTGTGGTTTGGTGGTACTGTACACTGCAACACTGCAGAATCGATCAGATAAAATAGATAGTTAGCCAGCTCAAGCCATCCAGGCATTGTTGCACTCACAGCAAGCGTAATCCGCAAGAAGCTGATTTAACAGCGCTTGAGCTGGATAACAATGTATTTTATCTGATCGGTTCTGTTGTGTTTTAGTATGTGAACCACGAAAGTAAGACTAGTTTTTATTTTTATTTGTTATTCTGTCATAGATGAAGGTTCATTCTGAACTTCTGAAACTACAATTATTTTATTATTGTTAAAAATAATTATTCTTAACTGCAGTAAAGGTTTCTGTAGAAGAAAGGCGCTTTAAATATTTAAAAACGGTGAATTGTTTAAACTGTTTTTACGGAAATTTTCGGTGATTACTTATGCATTGTCTTTTACTTCTCCTTTGACATTAAACATGCTTCAAAAGCATAAACAGGCTATTATAGTAAGTGCATATGTACCAACGATCCATGCCTTTATGGGTGTCTGTCGCCTTATGGTGTTATGTTCGCCCGACTGCATTTTTCAGCTGCTTCTGCATGATCAATCTGTATGCAGGTCCATAGGCCCACACTAAGATTCTGACCGGAATTTGATTTTGGTTGTGAATTGTCTGTCGAAATCAGTTTTATATGAGAGCAGTATTATATTTTTCTTCTGTCTACTGAAGTATGGGCCTGAACATGAACAATGCTTCAGGCACGCTTTTAATCTAAATTTCAAAAACAAGTTTGAAAGCTGGGCTTTTTTTTCGTACGATGATCGGTTGATGTGAAATGTTGCACAATTCTTTTTGAACGTAGAATGCTTGTCAACGCGAGGGCTTTGCAACGAGTGGAATTTTTACACTATCTGTTAGGCGGGTAATATTGGCAAAACTGAGTTGCCACTAACCATTTTGTTTGTTTGGTGCGTAATGAAACTGCTCTATGGAGGACGCACGCGGCAGGTTTTATGAATTTATGGAATAACAAAGAAATTGCAATGATGTGACTGATTTCACAAGGGGCACTTGAAACCATGCAATGCAATACGTGTACGATTGAACAACGCGTACGTGTTACGAGCTGTAGAAATCTCGCACTTAGCCGTGAGTAGGGTCATGTATGCCTGCCTACTCGTAATTGGGTCACATTACAACATTCGGAAAGAGACACCGTGCGGGCCACTGCAGTCGTTTGTTTATTAAATCCATGCCAGCGGAGTCTGCGTAGTTGCGAGGATGAGAACAGCTGATTTTAGTGGAGTGGAAATTCCATGTCGCACGTGTTTTATGCAAGAACACGCGGCAGTGGGATTTCTGAAATGTTGCTGGGGAGAATAGTGACTCAAAGTCAACAAAGCAGTTTTGTTCAACGTAGCAGGCACTTTGATGTTTTAGCACCGAGTTGACAGATCTGTTGCTTATGGTGGTCCTTGGGTTTCGGCTGAGCTGTGAAAACAGTGGAGTCTGCCCACAGAAATGTACCGTTCAGGGGGTGTGTGGATCAGTTCGTAGATAGCAAAGCAGGTCGAGTTTCGAGATAATAGCGAGGTGATACTAGCAAGCTTAAAAACGTCAGTTAGTATTCCGCTTTTTCAGGTGTAGGAATAACCAGTAGGTGCAAAGTTAAAATAATTCAGTTGAACCCAAAAGTCTAATGGACCAACTTTAAATATCCTGCTAAAAATGTATCTAGTAGCGTGTGTTGTGGCAAAAAAATTGTAATTTTTTCCACCACTTTTTTAGCTAGTTGCCGTTACCTCTCGTCTTGCTACCAACATCGGAGCTCCCTCCTACACTTCCCCCCGCCACTTGTAACACCCTTCACTTAGCTCCTGCTCATGCGCTGGTCAAGGGTCATCCATCACATAGCAACTAATCTGTAAAAAATTCTCCCACTGGAAACAGAAGAACTGAAGCATGGTCTAATAAAATATATCCGTAAAAAATAAGAATTTACAGGAAAACAAGCACGCTAATACTGCGTTATGTGCCGAAAGAAAATAATAAATCACGGGGTGTTGAGCTTTATTAGTGGCTAATTTAATGACGGTGTCAAATCTCGATTTCTTGGGTCGAATAATAAGATGGTTGTTGGATAATGAATTTGAAAGGATGTGGCTGGAAGCAGTCGTGGGCTGTGACCGATTTGAGATAATAGTTCGGTATTTCTTGGTGGGACTGAGGAAAACCATTAAATCTTCTATCAGAATACCCTGTCCATCTCCGGAATGTGAATCAGGAGTGCCAACCCCTCCACCGCATGCAAAACATGTAGAGGGAAACGAATAACTTCGTTTTATGACACCGAAGTATTGTGTTTGAAGGTGAGCGTACGTGTTAACTGCCGTCATGAAGCCGAAAAAGAAATAAGGACAGAAATGTAGTGATTTTTAATATTCCACAAAATTACGGAACTGTAAGTATGGTATAGTTCGGTTCTTTGAATGTTCACTTACATGTATTGAATCGCGATAATATGGCTGTCGTCACGTAACTTGGAGCGGTTGCCATGTTTGGAGTTTTTGTCACCTCTTTTAATCATCACCGTAGTTATTGTATGTTCATTTGTTACTCGAAGCGATCCGCCGGCAACTGTTCATGCATTCAGAAGTAAATTGAAAATAGAAAATGGCGTTTTGCAACTTGGTACAGAACTATTTATGAGTTTAAATTGAACAAGCTGGTGGGATGAAAGTTTGATTGCAGTCAGAAAGGCTTAGTGAAGGTACTTCGTAGGTTTACTGAAAAAAAAATTTGAACGTGTTGTAGTACAAGTGATGTTAAAACACAGTCCACTCAGGATATAAACTCTGGGACGTCTCGAATCCGAGCTTAGAATATTTTGACCAGAGCGTGAGGTCTGTAATTTTCAAGACTGCAAATAATATTCATTAATTAGCGACCTTGTTTGCTTGAGATTGGCATCAAGGTCGGATTGGCGGCTGGCATCATAAGTACTGCAACAGTAGTGGTGTTTACAATGATCCCATGGTAACTGGCTCTTATCTGTAAACACGCGCCTGTCTACAATGCTTGGAAATGCAAAGAAGGGTGCACTTCAGTACTTTCGAGAAGTCAGCGCGCGCACTATAATTGTGATGGTACTCGGTGTGTTTTTAGATCCTCCAGTCTGATTTATGCCAATGAAATCAATCGGTCGGCATGCGCTGTGTGTTCGATTACGTTCGCCGCTGTCATTCTGATGTACTGTGTATCTCCAGTGGGAAATTCAATTGCTAAGGTAGTCGGAACGAAACAGTGCGTTTCACATCCGACTACTGTACAAGTCCAACGGTAATAAATAATCTACGAGGACAAAGCCAAAGGATCCGATCAGGGGATTTTCAAATCTCTGTTGCTCTGTAACTGACTTTACGCAACGTGGGAAGGCAGAAGGACAAGGAAAATCCCGATTCTCGCTCCTTTGGCCGGCTACTCAAACTGAGTATTTTCGTAATTTTACTCAACATTTCCTGGCAATACTGGCATGATATCTTAAAGCAGACCAAGGCCGTTTCCTCACACGTCAAGAAATATATATGTATATAAGATAAAGGCATGTTGCAGTTCACGCTCTGACCCCATTGTCATCGATATTGACCCCTCCTTCCGGTACGCATTATATAGAGGAGTGGGCGGACCCAGTGATGAAATGATGAAAGGTAATATTGGAGGTTTATGCATGTAAAATATCACGTTCACACGTGGTGAATTCAAGTTGTTTTTAGAAAATTACCGGCCTTCTAAATAAAATGGCAACAAGAATAATTTTCTTTGCGTTTGAAGATACACATCCGTTTTGTAGCACGCTCTTGAATTTCAGTGTCTCCGTCCTTGAAGGAATTCGGTTGTGAGTCATGAATACGTAAAATCCCTTGAATAAAGTGTCTTCCTTAAACTGCTTATGGCATAGACAATATGCTTTATGACGTCGTTTGTTTTACATCCACTTTATGTTCACTTTTCCTCATGTATTGCTTAGGTTTTGGGGAAACCTCTTCATCATCTGTGATGTACCAAACTACTAGTTCCTTATCGTTTCTGTTGCAGGTACATATTCTACATTGAATGTTACATGAATTACAAATAGGTTTGAGGCCCTGTGTTCTTCCCATATAACAAAGTCACGTCTGAACCGAAAGTTCTTGCACATTTCTGTCTTCCTGCTTTGCGGAAGGCTTGTCCGCCAAACCTCGCATCTTATCTTCATGCTAACTTTTCTTTCTTTCTTCTGCCAAGTGTTACACACACCTGCGGTTGTTGTGAAACTGCTCGAGTCGGAATGTGGCCTGGGCACACTTGCCGCGCTTTAACGAGCCACTTGCAATGGCTTTCAGAATGTGAGGTGCGTCGGGTTTGTGAGATTCAGTACAGCAACAGCATGACGCTGCTGGGAAAGAAAGTAGTAGCTGCAGGACATCTAGC